TGATGACGACGCTCCGGGGAAGGCGTGGGAAAAGAGGTGGGTGAGGTCTGTCGCCGGGTGGTGGGCCGCCAGGTTCGTGATGCCTGGCGGCGCCTCCACGTACTCTCTCACGCATCTGCACGCGTGCAGAAACTAAATACGAGAAAACAAAATAATAAAAATAGGGCACAGTGTGGCAAGCGTACCTGTCGGCCCAGTGCAGTTGCTCATCAAATGTGAAGGGGTTTGGAATGAAGGCAAAGCCTGCAACAGTTCCAACGCTCAATATAGATTGATGTATAAATAATAATAATAAAAAAATTACCTGGCGCATCAGCAAGAGTGTAGATTTTTGTCATTCGTGGAGCCAAGTTGTCGGCATCAGGATGCACATCTTGCTCGATGATGAGGCTCCGATTTGAGTGGCTGTTTGCTTCCAAATTATGAAAATCGATCACTTCCTCCCAGGGTAAAGTCGGCTCCTCTGTCGGCTGCGCCTCCTTCTGTTTTCGCCTTCGCTTCTGTTGGCCCTCCCCGCTGCCCGTCTTCCCTTGGAAGCGCTTCTCCGTCAGCCGGAACACATTCACGCCTTCCATCTTCTTGGCGTTTTTGTATTTTATTGTTCTTGCCGATTGGGTTGGCTCAACACTCGGCCGTTTCTTGTTCTGCGTCAGCGCCTTCGGCGGAGGCGTTTCCGTCCTCATGAGAGTCGTCGAGTTCGTCGAAGCTGTCGACGACCCACATGGCCAGGTGGCCCTCGACGAAGAAGTAGAGATCGCGTCGGTCGAACGGTGCTCGGAGGATGTGCTTCTTGAAGCACAAGTAGAACCTCGTCCCTGCCACGAACAACGCTGCCAGTGTGAGTCCCAGTTACGGACCCCCAGCCCAGCATCAAGTGGGTGAGTGGTTGAGCGTACCGGGCACGCCCCAGAGCGACGAAAAGTCTTCGACGAGGCCCACGACCGGCTGGGCGAGGTCGGTCGAGGCTGGATCGGCCCGAATGGGAGTGTAGAGCGTCTTCACGCACTGGCCCTTTCGGTTGAAGGCCTTAATCTTGTAGAGGGTGATCTTGAATTGTTTGCCTAGGTACGCACAGAGAACACTCGCGGGTAAGCTGCGTGGGTCATGCTCTGCCAAGGTGGTGCGCGCCTTGGGCGGAAAGCC